CGTGCAACGTGCGGCCTGTGTGACCAAACTCTTCCATTCAGCCTCACCGGCGCACCTGTCTGGCAGGTCTCCAAAGCTTTGCACGCTCTGGGTGGTAGTGGTAGTCGTCGTCGGAGCACTAGCAGCACCACCACCACTGTTGTTGCTGCTGCTACTAGCACTCCTCCTCCGACTTCAACTACTTCAACTACTTCTACTACGCCTACTACGTCTACTACGAACCACACCACCACCACTACGACCACCACCACCACCACCACCATCATTGCCCATACTACTGCAGGAAGCAGCACGCAACGGCGGGAACCACCACCAGCAGACCTTCTCTACTACTGCCAGTAGCACTACCTCGACCACCACTACCAATTCTGCTGCGACGGTTTGCTGTTGGTGACGAAGCTCAACACCTTAGAAGGCAATCCGTCTGTTCTCTCGTCAACAACATACCATGCATAAACTCTGCCTACCCTCCCCCCCCTCCCCCCCCATGCACCTCCTGCTTGACCGCTGCCTCAACGTCCGGGCTGAGACCTGCAGGGGATCGCAGAGATGACAGCGCGCTGCAATCTGTGGAGAATCTTCCAGCTGTATGAAAGTCTTCCACTGTCCGACCTTTTTGATACTTCGGTCTTCCCCTGCTGTACTACTTTATGCTTCGTTGATCATGCTATTCTGATGTTCGACATTTATCCTCGCTTGATCTGTTGAACCCTTCCCGCTCGATCTTTGACGAATTTGCTGCTACTCTTCCACCATTGCTCGAGTCGGCCAGCTGGCTTCCTGTGGGGCTGATGCAATCATGCTGGCTTGGATCGACGACTTCTGAGCAAGAAAGTAAGATGTTGAATGAAGATGCGACAAGACAAGCCGAACAACTCCAGACCCGGTAAAACCCCAAACCCAGCAAGAACCCTCAACCCTATGAGACTCAAAGCTTCAAACCATACATCGTTCTTTGGAGGCCACTGCCCACCCTGGGCTCCCCGCTCGGCGTGAGGCGCCCACAAAGCTTCGCGGTGCGCAGGGCCCGGTCCTCGGCGGAGTCCTGCCGAGGCTTAGGGTTTCCGGTTTCTGGTTGTAAAAGGATGTCGTAAAGTTTGAGATTTTCGGGTCTGTTGGTTGGACTTGGCAGTTCGAGCCGCTGATGTTTCCGGTTTGGGTTCTTGGCTTAAAGTTTTCGGTCTGGGGTTTAGGGTTGAGTTGAGGCTTGGCAGCTGAGGGCTCAAAGATTCTCCTTATGCCTCCTTCTTAGCTCAGCCTCACAAGATCCTCGAGCACTAAGCCCCCCCCCATCGGCTTCCCAGAACACTGCAGTCCCCAAGCCGACCCCTGAAGCCGACGTCTGGACAACTGGGCACTTTGCTCCAAGAAAAAAAAGCCCTGATCGAAGGAGCGAAGGGCTCTAACAGGCACTTATTTGAACTTATTTGCATCGAGATTCTCTCAACTGTAAATCTAGGGGCAGAGATGGGCAGGACTCGAAGCAGGCAGCCCTGGCAAAAACTTCAGAATTCGCGACAGCTACCGTGGGGCAGTCCTCCTCGGCGCAGAGGTCCCCTTCCCCGAGATGTGGCCAACAGCCCTCAGTACCGTCGTCGCCTGCACATTGCTCCGGAGTGAACCCGAAATGCCGATGATCTACTGTTTCTCTTCAGAGAAACTGAGAGAGAGAAGCAATTCGAGTCATGTTTTGTGGCGCAGCCGCGGGCCGGAGGCCGGAGGGCAGCAGCAAGAGAAACGTGCAACAGCAACAGCAGCTGACGAGAAAAGATCACATAGTTGCAATCAAACCTAACACAACAGAAAGAACAAGAAGAACGAGAGAAGGACTAGTGCTCCTCACAGGACAGCACGCCGTCAAAAGCTCCTCAGAGGACAGCACACCGCCTTTGCGAACAGCTTGCAAAAAGGAGAACCGTATGATTCTAGCAACTCACCCAAAATCACGAACAATTGTTACAAAACTCATCACACATTGTCAAGGCGCTAAAAGCCGACGGAGTTAACCCTAGCATCAACACGGTGTGCACGTATCTATCTGCTCATGCATTCTTAATTGTTTCACTATGACTTATACTCCTGATTAACTGAATATTGGTTTACATGTTTGCTTGTGTGTATATTATATATATATATATATATACATATATATATATATATATGTATATACATATACATATACATGCACATATACATATACATATACA